CTAAATTGCCCAAGTGGAGCTCAAATTTGGTGTTACTCCTACCTCAGCTTCCCAGTGTTGGGATTACAGGTGTGTGTCAACATTGATGGATTGAGATTTTCTTTTGTTCTTTTGAGACAGGATCTCTTGCTATGCAGCTCATTACTGATCTTGATCTCTCTTACGTAGCATATGCTGGCCTAGAATCTGAGTGCTGGTAGTACATGTGTGTGTCACCATGCCTACATTGGGATTTTTTCTTTTATTAGCAGTGTTACTATTATTTTTGAGACAGGGCCTGGCTCTGCCTAGGTGGTCTGGGCTCTAAATCATCTTCATGCCTCAGATTCTTGAGTAATTGGGCACACTACTATGTCCTGCTGAATTTTATTTCGTTATAACTTTTTATCCTGAAATAGTTCAGGATGTACAGCAGATGCAAATACAGTAGAGAATTTCTGTGTACCCTTTACACACTGCTCAATAACTATCACCATTACACATTGACACACCCAGGAAAGCAACACAATACTATCAACTCTTGTACAGCCCTTATTTGAATGTCACCAATTTTTAAGCGTGTGTCTGAGTCATTTTTCTTCTTTCTGTGACACAATATCTGGCACCTACAATTCAGAGGAGGAGAGGTTTATTTTGCATTACAGCTCGTAAAGCTTTGTCCATAGATGGCTGGCTCCGAGGCAGAATTACATGGTAGAAGGCTGGGCAGAGGAAACTACTACCTCATGGCATCCAGAAAGCAGAGAACCTGGAGGGTGGAGCTGGGGAGGGAAACTGCACCTTCCAGGCCAGGCTCCCAGCACTCCCCACCCCTTCTGACCAGACCCCAGCTCCCAATAGCAAGCTGGCTGCAAGCCCCCATGACCTAATCACCTTCTAAAAGCCTTGCCTCTGAGGGAACCGGGCTCATGGGGGAATCTAGATGGAAATTATAACAGTGTGCGTATGTGTGGGTCTATGAAATTTTATTACACGTGTAGATCTCGTAATCATCACAATTAGGGCATACAACTATTCAGTTAGCACAAAGAAACTCCCCTATGTTACCCCTTACCAGTCATTCCTTTTCTTCAACCCTAATTTTTGTCAACTACAGATCTGTTTTCCCTAACTATGATTTGCCAGCTTGAGAATACTACATTATAATAGGACACTGTACAACTGTCCTATTATAGTGTACAACTTTTTGGAGTTCAGGTTTTTTCAGACTGGGGCAGCCCCTTAGTGGGTGAGGCCATGCTTATTTTCTTGGTGGCAAGTGACGTTGAGGACTGCATATATATATATGGGGTACTGGGGATGGAACTCATGATCTTGCACTTACTAGGCCAGTGTTAAGCCACTGAGCTAAATCCTTGGCTCTGCACACATATTTTTAAATTTAAACTTGGGGTTTGAACTCAGGGCCTTTGCACACAGCTATATATCACCCGCTTCCCCCCCCCACTTTGTGTTTGAGACAGAATTGGCTAAGTTGCCTAGGTTTGGCTAGAACTTGTTATCCTGCTGCCTTCCAGAGTGCTGGCGTTATAGGTGTGTGCCTCTATACCCTGTCAATTTTGTATATTGGCCATCTGTATTTCTTCTCCAGTAAATTGACTGTTGTCCATTTTTCTACTGGAATTTAAAATTGTATCTTGTGGACTTGCTAGTTGTTCATATAGTGTGGAAATTGGCATTTTTCATTGATGCAGCAAATATCTTCTTATAGTTTATAGATTTATGATATTTTAGCATATTACTTTTGAGACAAAGTTTTGCTATGTAGTGCAGGCTGGCCTTGAACTCACTTATGTATCCCAGGGTGACCTAGAAGTCATGGTGATCCTCCTGCCTCAGTCTCCCAAATGTTGGGATTACAGGCATGTGCTACCACATCCAGCATTGTGTATAATTAAAAAAAAAACTTTGTGGACTCAAATTTATCCAAGTTTTTGCTTCATGTTCAGAATGTTACTAGAAAATACAAAATTATAGGTATGCTGTCCAGAGTACGAGACTACTGTATTTGCAAAACCTAATTTATAATCAGAAGTTTGCTCCATTTGCACTGTCAGAACAAAGAGAATTATGGGGTGTTTTACACAAACTAGATAAACCAGGAGGATTATCTGTTATACGATGGGTTGTAAATTTCTAGTGATCAGAATATTTTTGCATAAAATAGTATCTTGCCCTTTGCAGTTTCAAATGTTCCTATTTTAACCATTCCACTTTTCTATTCCAGTATTTATTAGGCACTCAAAGCATCTGCCATTTCAATATTCTCATGAAAGCCATGTTACAAATAATTAAGGTTTTACTAGTGAAATGTTTCATTTAATGGCACTTTTTCCACTTTGCCCTCAGATTTGAAGGGTGAACTCATGTTTTTATGAAATAAAATCCACTTCTTATGATAGGAGCCATATAACATCATGAGCTAAACATATTGATGGTACACACATACACACAGTGGGGCCTCAGTACTTTCTAGGAGGTGCAATGAATACCAAGACAAACAGTTTTGGCTGGAAAGGGTAGCAAGTCAGGGGGCAATGGACAGGGAAAAGTCCCAGCTGTGTGTCTAGTATCAAACAAAGATGAATACTGGGATATAATGTTCATGTCCAAATGCTTCAGTGCCAAACTAGAGATTTAAAGCAATCAAATACCAAGGAATGATTGTGCACACACATGTGTGCAACCCCCCCCCCATATATTTACTGGGGATTGAATCCAAGGCCTGAAGCATGCATGCTATGTAACGGCTCTACTACAGAGCTATAGCGCCAGCCTTTTTTCAATTTTAAGAGGTCTCCTTAAATTGACCAGGCTGTCTTCAAACTTGCTGTTCTGCTTCAGCTGGGAGAGCAGCTGGGATTACAGGTGTACACCACCACACTGGGATTCAATGAATTGCTTTGGATGTGCTCTAGTAAAAATAAAAGGGGCTACTGCGAAACATTAAATATCACTACAAATTTGCCACATAATTAATTTCAGATGTTATGTCAGTTACACTTAATCATTTTCAGTGGCATTTTCACAACATGAAATCCAGTTTACTAAACAGGAACTTTTCAATTTTGTTTAAAGAATAAAATCGTTTTAAAGTTTCAGTTGCTATATAATCAACTAACACCATATAGTTGTAAAACTAATGAGAAACTACCACCTACAATAAATGTGATGTTTGGGGCAGAAAACCATTTTCAGCTAATACTAAGTCAGGAAAAAAATAAAACAGGAAATCATTTAATATCAGTTCATAGTGAACTGCAACAACTAAAGTAAAATTAATCTAAAAAGACACGGTATACACTCCAACTTTTCTATTACTTTGATTCAAATTTTGTATCAACTTATGTATAACTCTGTAGAACTTTCACTACTGACCGTTTAATGTTCTAGCTGCATTATGCTGTAATTTGAACCTATTAAAACAGTACAATACTCTACCAAAGATGAGTCTATAACAGAAATGGAAAAATTTTTTTGAATAGTAATAGTAGTACAGCTTTAGCGCTAAGTAAAAATGTCTCACTTCATTTCTTGCTACTTGTTTAGATTTTTCTATTTAACTTTTGTTGTTCCACTGATTAAATACACCATAATTCTGTTTTTAAATTTGCAGAAAAAAAAACCCCAAAAAGCACAGAGAATGAGAGAAACTAAGAAAGACGTGAAGAAATGGAATTTAAGGACTGAAATAATCTCTATATTACATTAGGAATGCTTTAGTATCATTATCAGGTGAAATCTAACACGGAGCTTGTACTGTTTCTTCTTTGTCTTATTAAATACATTTTATTCACTTTCTTCTAAATGAAATAGTGTAACAGTAGAGAAATATGTTAAAACAAGAAACGGAAATGAGTTTTAAACAAAATTCTCTGTGTCAGGAACTTCTGGAATAGTCCTGGAGATAGTGAACAGGTCACTTTTTCCTGTCCTAGGAAAAGTGGCGCTTGCGAGGGTCAGGCCCTCCCGAGCTCTCCCTTCCCAGAGTACAGAGTTCTTAGCAGTCAAAGGTCCAGCACGCTGGACTCACACAAACAACAAAAAGCAAAGGCGACAGACTTCAGTTACTGGGGGTCAAAGGAGCGGAAGGGGCCCCTTGCTACTTCAAACACCGTGGGGAGAGGGCTGGTTAAAGGAAGCCGAATTCCTAGCGCTGGGGCGATCTCCCGCCCGCCCGCCCGCCCTCCCCCGATTTCCAGGAAGGGAGTGCGTGTGTGGGGGAGGCGCGAAAGGCCGGCCAGGTCCCAGCGCTCCTCTGCCCTTTGCTATTTCCCTGCACTCTGCTCTGCTCTGTCCCTCCTCCAGCGCGGGGAGCCCTCCGAGGAGAGCTTAGCCGGGCCAAGTGGTCCAGTCCCCTAAGTCTGTTAAGACCCTGAAAGAGATCACGTTTTTTTCAGCATAAAACTAGTGTGAGTTGCGAAGGTGGGGGAAAAAACATTATATATATATATATTTCTCTTCCAGGGCTGACTTCCTTATATCAGGTTCGTTTTCTCTAAACAAAAAATACACAAAACAAAAAGCGACCAAAAATCTCGAGCCACGTCTAATCGTTTAGGGTCAGGTGCCAGAGTTCTGGAAGTTAGGTCCTGTGGCCCGAAAGGGTCCTACCGGAGCGTCGCGAGGGTCCGGGGGCACTCGGGTCGCAGGCCCGTCGCTGGGGCGTGTCGGAGGAGGGGACTGGGAAGGGTGATGCCCCACTGGGCAGCAGCCTGGGGCTGAGCGAGGGGCGGAGGAGCCGGGGGAACAAGTCAACAGACAAGCCCGGCCTCTCCATTCCCACGGCCGGGGCTCCGCCGGACATTCCTACTGCCCGCCCTTCCACACCTTCCTCCGCTCGCCTAATAAAAACAGGAACCGCGGCCCCACGGAGTCCGCGGCGGAAGCGCGTCCAAACGAATGAGTAAGTCGATCGCGGGCACAGCACCTTGTTTACCCCACTCGGCGGCGCGCCCCTGCGGGCGCCTCTCTTGCAGGAGGCGTCGGAGACGCTGGAGACGCTGAACCCGGGAGTGGGGCGGCCAGGATTGGCTGGTGGTGGGGAGGAGGACGCTGGGTGGGAGGGCTCAGAGCCAGGCGTTGCAGTACCGGCTCTGTGCCGCTAGATGACGCCCCCTCCCAACGGGAGCCGGGCGCGGGTTCCTGGCCGACAGATGGCGCCTGCGCGTTCCATTCGCCTCCAAGTCGCTGAAGAGCGAACACCCCAAACAATCCCGAAGCGCCACCAAAAAAAAAAAAAAAAAAGAAAAAAAAAGAAAGAAAGAAAAAAAAAAAAAGAAAAAAAAACCCCGCCGGATCCGATCGCCACTTTCAAAACCCCCCACCGTTCTAGAACCGCGGGAGCTTCCGTCCCTGAGTAGAATTCGAGGGTGTAAAGAAGAGGAAGGGGAAAAAAAAATCTTGTACCAGCCCAGGGGTGAAGAAGCCCCCGGCCTGAGAAAGAAGGAAGGAGTGGGGGAGGTGAACAGTCTCGTTGCTGCCTCCGTGTACGCTGAGGGGGGAGGTAAGTTATAAAATGGCGGAGGCGAAGCTTCTAGAAGTTTGGAGGGGCACCCGGAGGGCTCGGGGCCCACCGCGAGGTGTGTGTGGCAGACACAGGGCCAGAGAAGAGTTGGGAGGGTAGAGAGGCCGGGCACTCTGTTGCCATTTCATTTCCCTCTCTGCTTCCTGTGGCCCCCACGGGGGGCAGCCATGGAGTGCGCGGCTACGTCCAGGCGGGGACCGTCTTCCTCGCCCCCGCGTCCCCCCGACCTCCTTTCTCCCCACAACTCGCTACCCCAACACTTCGGAGGAACTTCCAGCCCCCTTCCTCCCTACCTCCTACTCCTAGAGCCGCTTTCTACCGCAGGACTCTCCGACTACCCTCGCTGACGATTTTCTTTCTCTGCCTTCCCTCGCCCCACTCTCCCTCGGGGCCTCTACGGAGGACCCCCCCATGGGTGGCCCAAAATGGAGAACGCGGAGCGGCGCAAGATGGAGGCTCTGCTTCCCTGTGTAGCATTAGATTTAGGTTTCTTTTCTCCGGCAGGCTCTTAAGCCTGAGAGAGCCAAAACTGGAGGTGGGGTGGAGTGCGAGCCTAGGTGGGGGAGGCAGGCCGGGAGGCTGGGGCTGGGGTGGGGGAGAGCGCGCGATCGCGGCGAGGGGAAGGAAGCGAGCAAAATGGTGGTGCTGGCAGCCTAGGGGGGAGGGGAGAGCGAGGAGGCTCAGTTGTGTATATTTGGGCCTCGGACCGAGGGAGGCGAGGGAAAATCTACTCCGATCACACCCCTCCCTCCTGCCCCCTCCCAGCTCCCTTCCCCTCCTTCCTTCCCTCCCCTCCCTCCCTCTCTTCCTCCCTTCCTAGAGAGGGAACAACATTCATGTGACGGGCCCCTCTGCTTCTCCCCCGCCCCACCATCCACAGCGCGTGGTGGGGGAACTGCTTGGGAGAGCGGTTGGCATCGATCTCTTCATCCCTTCCGAGGCCCGAGTTCGGTCAGTTTTCTTAGGGCAACAATTTTCTAAACAGGCGGGGGTCTGGCGGCGCTGGCCCCCGCGCGCAGCCCCTGCCCCGAAGGGGGCCCTGCCTGCCTGGCATGGGCGGAGGGGGAAGGGCGGGAGTGGAAGGCTGTTTGTTGGGGGGTTTTGGCGCCACTTTTGTTTTAGTTTTAGTGCTGCTTTTCGTTTCCACCCCCACCCGCACGTCTTTCTCACGGCACGAACTGAGCTGATCCTTGCCCCAGGTAGGCAGCCGCTGCTTTTTCCCTCCACACTTTTATTCATGCTTGAGGGCGACTTTCTCTTTTCTTCTATCACCTATCCGGAGCTCCGAGGACGGCAATTTTAGGAGGAACAGGGTCGGATGGGCCATGGGAGAGAGAAGGTGTGGGAAACAGCATCAAGTAGTTCCGCAAAACTTTGAGCCCCGTTCCCATTTTCTTCTGGCCTAGAATCGTAAACGTATTGTTGATTTCGGCCTTTTTTCCCCTCCCGTCGCGAGAATGTCTTGTTTTGCCTTTAGTTTTTTATAAACCGCTGTACTTTCGACATTTAGTTTCTGCTCTTCCTCTGTGTATATAACATCTTATTTTTAATCCTCAACTGTAATGGGCTACCTGTGATTTTTTTGTTTTGTTTTGTTTTCATGCTTCAGTGTTTGGCTTTAATTTTTAATTATTGCATTAGTAGTTTCTTTCGGTGTGTGAGACTTTCTCCTCCTTGGCCTAGGATGTTTTTTATATTGTCGCCCACCCTGTCCCTCTCCCTCCTTTCTCTTGGGTATAGTTTTTACATTGAGGGACATGGTTTTTGATTAAACGGTTATTTATAGTTTACGTGCCATATCTCCTAGAAACTTTTGATCTGTAGGGTTAGGTTTAAGTAAACGAGAAGCTTGTGTTGGTTTGCAATGGTTCCTTAAAATGCGCGGGCCGCCTCCCCGCTGTCCTCCCCACCCCCATAGAACCCCATCTTCCCTGCACACTGGAGTGTAAATTCCGTACCCCTTTTCTCCCACGGACCGCCTTATTTCACGGCAGCCACACCCTGTATTTGTCTCTGTGGATTGGACTCATTATCAGCTTAATTTAGTGACTCTTAAACCTCCATGATGGGACTTGCTAAAGCACGAAGCTTCTTTTCCTGTTTAGTTCTAGTGGTTAGTGTCGAAAGAGGAATGATCGAGGTTTTCTTGATGAAACCTGGTGCGGTCCAGGCTCTGCCTTTTTTCTGTTGTCTTTTTTCCCTACTCCGGGCTGTTGGCGGTGTCAGCGCGGCTGCTGGGGGCGGGGGGTGGAGGGGAGAAAGAGTCGGGTTACCGAAGTGCGTCATTCCTGGCTCTAGCAGGGCCTGCTCCGGAGCTGCTGGTGTTTGTTACTGTCCTCGCAGCACTTTCCTGCCAACCTTCTCTCTCTGCGCATTGGTTAGGAGCAAAAGCAGGAGGCGGTCTCCTAATCTGTCTGTAACCTAGCGCGTTGCGTTTAAGGGTATATGTGAACTTATTAAAAAGGGGGGGGGGGCTGGAAAGTGGATACATCGCGGTTTAGTGACGTACAATTCAGGTAGTTTAGACTTGCTTTGATATATTTTCCAATGAACAGTGGTGTTAATTTTGAACATTTTAAACCACATAGGCTAAAATGCGTGGTTTTCGTTCTACATTGATATCAGTCTGTAATTAGGAATCATAAGGACCAGTTAAGGCATAAGTATTCAGCGATTTTTCAAATGATTGAATTGTAATTTTAATGGCACATTATGTTAAGTAGTCGTTTTCATTTCAAGCTAAGATGCTATGTGAATGCAAGCTAATTGCAAATGTTTTAAGTTCCTTTTCACCACATACTCCCATTTATCCTTTTAGGTGTACTTTAAAATGTACCCTTTGGGTCTTGTGGACTTCATTACAGTTCTTAAAGATGGTTATTTCTTTGTTTTTAACTGAATTCTTAAAGACATTTATTATCGTAGCTAAGAGATGGTAGGATGTCTGCGCTGTTATATTGTTGCGTTTTTGACTGAATTTGTTAGTCTTGATACTTTTGGCTACCTTTGAGTTTTTCTCAGTGCACTTGGCGGCATCTTCCTCTTCCTTTTTGAAGATAATATTGAGGGGAAGGAATGGTAGGAGATAGAGATGAAACAAAAGTGGCCTTGAGTTGATAATTGTAGCTGGAAGTAGAGGAGAGCTCATTGTTACTTTGTACTTTTCTGTGTTCTTGGAAATTTCCTTTCTTAGAAAAGAAAAATTCCAAATTGTAAAGTTTATATTTATATTACAGTCATTTACACGGTAAACAACCTTATATGTAAGTACACAATGTGCAACACAAACTTTCAAAAAATAACTGAACCGGTATAGAATAAACAACATACATTTTAATAAATCGATTGGCATTTAAATGTTTGCAATTTAATCTGAAAGTGCTCTTTCAGTTTCCTTTTAAATTCATTGAGAATAGGAAAATTCCATTTGCAGATTTAAAAAATTCTACTTGGTGTCTTGTTTCATCAAGTTGGAGTTAGAATGAGTCAGTATGAAAGGGATTTACTATTAATAGGAGGGGCTTTGGCATTGGTAGTGACAGTGGAAGGAATTGGGGTGCCATAGAGAGCAATCCTGGTAGGAGGATCTAGGTGGCTGAATTCAATTTCAGTAGGTTTAATATTAGACTTAGTAAAGAAGCAGATTGGGAAATGAATGTGGGAAATAAATGTACTTACTAGCCATTCCTTCCCACTAGGAAAAAACTATAGTATGCTAAACTATCAGAAGCTGGCAGGGAGGGTGGAGTGGGTTCTTCTTTTATAGCTGATATGGAAATGAGTGTTTGTGTTTAAAACAATTTAAATCAGCCCCCTTTTTAGTGAACGGTTCTGTCACTAGTTAGAAGTTGATATGTGAACTATTAAAATATTTTCTACTAAGACCATTCTTGTTATCAGTCATCAGTAAAAGTGCATAATTAAAACCCTCTTTAATTAATGTATTTTTGAACTGCTCAAGTCTAAGGTAAATGCTTATTTCCTGTAGTTTGTATTGTTTAGTGTCAGGTTTATTTTTTTCCTTTGAAATGTACTCTTGAATATATGTCAACATTATACGGAATAAAAAATACTGGATTTTTAATTTTTATATTTGGTAAGATGTTTTCCATCTTACCAAAATTCCACTCCAGTCTGAGGATGTGTATTTCACATCTGGTAACATTAGTATGTATATTTTGTAACTGTTTCAGCTTTAGAAAAATGTTAAAGAAAGACAGATTACATATTTCAAGTTTTTATTCTTATACAAATATTCTTAAGTAGATGCTGGAGATTGTGGCATCTAGTTTATTTTATTGTGGCGAAGTAACAGCTAAACTACTAAACCAAATTATGACTTTGGTAACTTTGAAATTTATTTAGTTTGGTTTTTAATTTTATTTTTATTTTTGGCTTTTTAAAGAGTCTTGCTATGCAGTTCAGACTAGCCTTCAATGCATTGTGTAGCCCAAGTGAACCTCCTGCCTCAGCCTTCTAAGTACCAGGATTATAGGCATGTGCCCTCATGCCAGATCGAGTTTTCATTTTTAAAGTAAACACTCCAGATTTCTTCCTTTCCCTTTTTTTTTTTTCTTTTTTTCGGTGGTGCTGGGGATTTAACCCCGGGCCTTGCACATGGTAGGCAAGTGCTGTGAGACTGTCTATATCCCACTCCTTTTAAAAACTTTTTTGTTGAGACAGTTTCTTTTTATATAGCCTATGCTGGCCTCAAAAATCTGTCCTCCTGCCTCAACTTCTGGACTAGATGAGATTACTAAAACTTGACATCATGCCCAGCAGATTTTAATGAAATTCAATGTTTTGTTTTCCTTTTCAACCTTAATGTCTTCTGTGATCACTGGAGTACATGTGAGGTAAATTAGGTAGGTGGTTGGAGTAGGGGGGCAGGCTCAGACTTCATCCTTTGGACATACAGAGTTAGATGTGAAAATATGTTATGGACAGTTTCATAATGCCTAATATTTTGCAAATTTAAC